TCCCTGGTGAAACTTCATGCAAGTGTTAAATACAATTTTAGTCTCCACATGTTTTCGGCAGAGGCACAATCTTCTATCTCTTTCCTTGGCTGGTTTAACAGAAAAAGGCTTTAGGCTTTCAAACTTCCTTTGCTTAACTTTTGGATAAAGCTGCTGAAATTCCAGAAATGCTTCCGTCTGTATCTTTTTCAAAACGTGCTTGGCAAGATGGACATATTGCTGCTTCCCGATACATTTCTTGACGATATCCCTCTTGTCTCCAGTATGTCTACTGGCCGTATTGGTCCAGTAATTAAAAATGGTTTGCCATCTTCCTCTGAAATAGCATCTTGGCGAACTTTCCTTTTGGTATACAGCCAGCTTTCAGTGTCACCCTTGAGGATACTTTCCCGGGTTCTTATCGCTTTACTTATGCTTTTGGCATTAAAATCAACTATTTTCCCCAAGGACTTTCTTGTCCTCGTCTTTTTTATGTTTTCTCCAAACGCAAGAGATATGAAGGCCTTAAGTGCTGCCGTTTTTTCATTCGATCCTGAGTGCTTCACTTGCTTCAACCCTTGGGGGATATCTGATGCCAGAGCTCTCAGGGTGTTCATTTCTTTCTGTTCCTCGGGGTTTTTTACCACTCCGCGGTTTGCAAGTATCTTCCTAGTTCTTGGGCTGTTTGCTAGTGTTTCTATGACTTTAGCATTTTTCTTGGGACTCAAAGGGAGCTTCTGTTTAACCTCATCAGTTGCACGTTTTTTGGATGTCCTGTTTGAATATCCAGATTCGCCCAAGCTTGCAGTCAATGCTGCCTCTTCTGTTTCACGTTCTTGTGCAACCTTTTCTTGCTGTTTTCTTTCGCGGAATTTTCTAACTCTTTCCTTTGTTTGTTCTCTTATTTTCTTCCTTTTATTCTGCAGTTCTGCTCAAGCGTTTTCTCTCTTTTTTTTCGTCTTTGATTTCTGCTCCGTTTTCTTTACATCAGTCCTTGTTCATGCCGGCTGCTTTGACAACTCTCGGATCGCTTGTCTACGTTCCTTGACTTCAGCAATCTTCTTTTCACGGTTCTTTTGATAAGATGCTCTATCTATCTGTCTCTTCCTTTCTGCTTTTCTTTATTGAGCTACTTTTTTACGTGAAAGCGGCGGAAGAATAATATCTTTTGTTTTCTCCATTCCAACTCTTGACCTTCTGTCTTTTCAAGCGAGTGACTACATGTGTTTCAAATGTTTTGTCACACTATCATTGGCCCTGATTTCCCTCTCAGAGCCCCCCAAAGTGAACAGAAACACATGGTTTGTTTTTTCCACTTGAACAAGCAAATTTTGAGAGAGGGTTCAAGCCAGCGACGCCAATTTTGTTCGTGTTTTCTTTGCAGAAATCCTTCGTGACACTCTGTGAACACGGTCTTAATGGCAGAAAGTGTTTCTGAGTCGTTCAAACTGGAATATCTCGCTTGAGATGAATCAGAAAGGTCTGAAAACTTGGGAAATGCAGGATAAATACATGCCCAAAGCAGTGGTTTGGAGTGAGTACTCGCTTGTTCTGATTTGAGAATTTAATTTTCTGAATTCAGCCTAGAGTTGTTGTTGATCTCACCTCCTCTTAAGCGTTACAAACTGTTTCCGATTTTTGTTTTCAGTTCATTGTGTATATTTATGCCATGAATCAACTTCAAACTTTGACTTCGAAAAGCCTCAAATATTGCCCATACCTTCACCGTAATTACTTTCTGTCTAGATGGAAATGTCAAACTTCAAATTTTAATTTTTCGTTTAAACATTACTTCAAACCTTACAAGCGTTACAAGTTCAAACAAACCATACCAGCCACTTTCAATCAACTGTATAAATTGTAGCTATAACCCGAAGCGAGAAATTCAAACTTTGTCAAAGTTAGCGGTGATTTACGCCGCCATCATTGTTACTCGTTACATTCAAATTCTACCATGTTCAGTAAAATCTTAAAATTATTTCTGATTCTCAAACATACCAAGGCAGAAATTTTTATGGCCTATCTTAAAGAGTAGCTCTTAAGGTACAAATATGGAAATCTTCAGTACAAAATACTAAATATTAAGCAAGATATTTAGGTTAGGAGATGAAGAATTGGCATTTTGGCCGTAGTGGCGTGGTGATTGTGCCACTCATCTTTATGGAAAGTAATATAACTTTAAAAAAAATTAATCCGAAGAACTTATCAATAAAAGGTAAAAAAATTAAAATAAACTGAAAAATCTTGTAAAACCATATGTAAACAAACGCATCCTGAAAAATGAATAGAAATTGAGAAAATCGAGAGTTAACTACAATTTTTTTTTCTGAGATATAAACAGAAAGTGTGTTTCAGTCACCATGGCAAGTGCCCACATATGGATGCAACGCAATTTTTCTAAAAAATTTTAACCTATGGCTCACTGGTGATACCATAGCAAGAGAGCCGGACATAGTTGTGTATTAAAGGAAGTGCAGGCTACTCTGCTGTCCAATATATTGGACACGGGGCTCCAAAGGATCGACTACCTCTAATTCGCATAATCTGATCCACCACTACAACTCGTAGCTTCCTAACCCAATCCACATGTTAAAAATGGGGTCACTGAACTCAACTTTGAGCTACAAGCATTTAAGGTAATTCCCCTGAAATAGAACTGTCCATAGATTTTTGTTCAAACTTTGTCCACTGAATATTTATCATATGAGAACCTAATTTATCTAATAAAAAGGCGGGTGCCCATGCTCGTTAAGGAGCAGTGAGGCATTGAAAATGTCCCATTTTAGCATTATTTAATTATGCTTATTACAAGAATGCATTCCAAGTTATTGCAAAATCTTTGTGAGCCCAGACTCTTGAAAAAAACACCTCAAACTACAGTCAATACTTGTGTCGGACACAAATAAACTTTTTAAATTTGATTTTGACAGACAGCTAAATCCTTGTTGAAATATTGGAGCCAAATTGCTTGCCACGGCTATCAAACTGCAAAAA